ATCGCTGGCACTACGAACGAAATGATCGAACTCTTCCTGCGACGTTACCCGCGGGGTGGATCAGCCAGGGATGGGGGTCGAAACCGCCCCAGCGCAAAGCAAATGTACAATCCTGAGAAACCCCAGCCCACATCAACCGATCCGCAACAAGCACGCAAGCCTTTGACGACCCCAACGCACGTGACATCGCATAACGCGACGCGCCATCGAAAACGTTCGACGCGCGGCCTCGGAATGACATCGGGTTTCATGGAACGTCGAATGGAAAACATGAAAAACCGCCCTGTGGGCTCCGAGACCCAAAATTACTGATGTGAAGGATTTTGGCTCGTCGACTCAGCGCCGCGCGCATTCGTCTCTCAACTTCGCAAAAGTCTCACGGATTGACAACGGCTTTTTGATTCGCGGGTCGAGAGCGCACCTCTTCCGGTCGAAGCTCAGCGGGCCGCGCGAAACCTGAATTCACAGAGAGGAGGGGACAGAAGGAGCGCGGCCTCACGGCAGGGCCAGGAGGAGGCAAAACGGGTTGACAACGGTCGATGTTCAAAACGCGATTCTCGCCTTGGCGCCGCGACCGTTCGTTCCAAAGAATTGCTAGCTTCACGGATCGAGGGCGACTCCTTCTCAGAAGTTGGCTCTCGCCCTAGCGCCACGCACGTTCGCTTCAAGACTTTACAGACGTTCCAATGATTCTCATGGCGAACGGACCAGAAGTGGTTTTTGGAACGGTTCTGGATGTCACGGCGCAACGCTTACGTTGATTCGCGGTGTCGAAGTCTCAGGAATAATGTTCTGGCACGATTCAGGATCGTCAAGACGCAACAGCCAGGTTGACTCGTGGCATTGAAGTCCTGCGAATGGTGTTCTGGCACGCTTCAGGATTTTCACACGGTTGTCACCCAACGGTGCATTTCCCCCAGTGGAAATGAATCCTTGAAGAGGGAGCTTTGAGAGAGGGTGTGCTCCAACATCGTTGAAGAGTCTTGGGTTAACACTGGTCCTCCTCCTCCTCATCCTCCTCCTTCTCCTCCTCCTTTTCCATCTCTTTCCCTTCTTAACAACTTCTCCCTATCACACCCCGAGGCCAGGTTTTAGGGCGGGCCAGGCGCTTCGCATGAGACTTCCACACCACTTATGACTCTGAAGCTCAAAAACTGAAATCATGTTCACAGATGGAAGGCAGGGTTTTCTATATGTGGCTCTCGCCTTAGCGCGGCGCATATTCGCTTGAAAATTGCCAGAGTTTCACGGATTGAGGGCCAGTGGTTTTCAAAATGTGGTTCTCACCAGAGTTCTACGGATTGGGCGGGTGGTTGTCAAAATGTGGCTCTCGCCTTGGCGCCGCGCACATTCGTGTTTGTTCAAATTCGCAAGAGTTTCACGGCTTGAGGGCGGTTCCTGTTCAGAAGGTGGTTCTCGCCGTAGCGCGGCGCGCATTCGTTTCAAACAGTTGCTAGAGCTTCACGGATTGAGGGCAGTTCCTTTTCAAAATATGGCTCTCGCCTTAGCGCGGCGCGCAATCGTTTTAAGAAACTGCCAGAGTTTCACGGATTCCCATCACCAACGTGCCAGAAAAAAATTCTGAGCGGATTCAGAATTATGCGGGTGTAACAGTTATGTTGGCTCGCTGTGTTGAAGTCCCAGGAATGGCGATCTGGCACGATTCAGGATTGTCAAGACGCAGTTGTCAGGTTGATCCGTGGCGCTGGAATCCCGAGGAACATGTTTTGACATGCTTCAGGGTCTCCAAACGGTTGTCTCCCAAAGAGGCAGTTCCTTCAATCGACCTGAACCTTTGCAGGGGCCTATGAAGAGGGAGCTTGGAGGGAGGGTTTATTCCAACATCGTTGATGACTCTTGGGATTACACTGGTCCTCCTCCTCCTCCTCCTCCTCCTACTCCTCCTCCTCCTCCTCCTCCTCCTCCTCCTCCTCCTCCTCCTCCTCCTCCTCCTCCTCCTCCTCCTCCTCCTCCCTCTCCTAAGTATGGTCGTGGTGGTGGTGGTGGGAGATCGGCCCATCGGCAGAAGATGCGCAAGCAGCTCACTAACGGCGCACGTGTCCACCTCCGCGCCCTCGCGGTCTGCACTCCAGGGTGCGTTCCCGTGGACACGCGGTCGCCCGGGCAAGGCCCGCGCGGGGCAACCGCGGAGGAACGCCCCGAGTGCGCGGGGTCGCGGACCAGGGACCCAGCCCGCGAGGCCGCGGACAGGGATACGTTTCTCGCTCATGAACAATATGAAGGGGCCCCAGGAAACACAAATGAATACACACAAATAGAAATATTCCCCATATTTCCCCATATTTTCTGGGTTTCTGTCTTCCCCCCCGCTTCCCATATTTTCCCATATTTTCTGGGAATCGACGATTAATTGTGTCTGTGTGTTTTTTCCCCTCCTTACAATACATGGCACACCAGGGATGAGGAGGAGAACGGAGGTCCCGAGCCGCTGGAGCCTCTGAAATACCCGGGCCGTGACGTGGTCCCAAGTGGGGCCAGAGAGGGTGGGACAGAAGATCGCGCCGCATCGCCAGCGCATTGGCAACTCAGCGCGACGAGGAGCCGATTTACTCCATCCCGACGTCGCAGGAGGCATTGCCGACGTATCGGCGATGTGGGGCGATGCTCCGACCCCGTCTACTCTGGCCGTATCTAGGAGGCCTCGACACACGCTAGGCCGCTCAACTTCGCGCATCGCGCCCAGCGATGCGCGACGCGAGGTCATCCTCGCGCACGCGCGCAACCGGTCTGGAGGCGGGCGTTTCTGCAGCCCGAGCCACGGCCGCCCAAACATGCCCGGCTCGCGCTGAAGGCACGCGCGGGGTCTGGCGCAAAGCAGCGTGGAGAGCCTGGCACGCCGCCGGTGCGCGTGTGGCACGGCGCTGCGCAGCGTGCCCGGCAGGACACGACCACCATGCCTGGCCAGGGCTATCCTGGGACTTGGAATTGGATACACGCCCCCCTGGCCGAGGCCAGTCTATACACCATCCATGAGGCCGTGATGGCATGGTGAAAGTTCATAGACGCCGTCTTCGACAGACGGGGTCTGGGTGAGAGGGCCGGCCATCTTTACAGGCAGGACAGGACAGGACAAGGCCGCGCCCAGACGGCGCATCGGCAGATAGAACTACTGTACATGTGAGGTGGCGTGCAAGAGCATGCAACGTGACAGCAGCGGTGCCTCGGCGAGGCCTTGTCAAAAAGGGCCCTCCCTTAAGAGACCGTGCGTCCCGCGCGGGGGGGGCTGCGCCCCGGTGCGCGCGCCGCCAGAGCCTGGAAGCCCAGGGCGGATGCCACCCAACACTGGCGGAGGAGGGACACGGCGCCGTCGAAGCACAGCACGAAACTGTCGAGCACTTCGGGTGAGGGGGTCGTGCAGGCAGAGCTTCACTTTGCGCCCTGGAGGACCGGCGCGAGAGCTGCGGTGACGCGGCTGGCCCCCAATAGGGCCTGGGGGTCGGATGCACGTGGCAGGATTGAGATTCAGCCCGGCCTCGCTTGCTGACAAACAAAGAAAATCAGCAAACCAGGCGATCTGGACTGAGGGGTCAGCACTACCTCACCTGCTTCGGGCATCTGTCCGTATCGGAAAATGCGGAAGATGCGACGTGATGTACAGATTGAAGCCGCGGCCGAATTTTTCCCCTTCCACTTTGGTTTCCCTTACACGTTTCGTGGCCTCGTTGGGAGCCTCACCGAATGCCTTAGTGGCAGCACCTGCATGCGGCCCCCCTACACAATGGTCGTGGCTCCATAGGGAACTCCATCGAAGGCCCCATTGGCGGCGCCCACATGCCGCCGCCACCCCACCTTGGCACACCCTTCACTCGCTTCGTGGCCCCATGGGGAGCTCAACAGAAAACAGTACCCAAAATGGGGGAGTCACAACTGCGTATCGTTGGGTCCTTCGCCAGGCTAAGTCTTCCCTTGACCCTACCTCTCCTCGTCGTCCTCCTCCTCCTCCTTATCCTCCTCCTCCTTCTCCTCGTCCTCCTCCTCCTCTTCTTATTATTATGTTTATTCTTACACTTACTATCACAATAAATAGTATGATTATTTGTTCTAAGAAATACGGATTAGTGATACTCTTTATAGTTCTACGATTAACCTGATAAGTATTAGTGTTGCTATCGTGATTGATATTATTATCCGTATGACTACCCTATATAATATAATATGATATATATATATATATATATATATATATAGAGATCTATATATATATATATAATATATATATATATACAGATATAGATATATCTGTATAAATGTTGGTATTACTATGATACTCGTATTTATAATAGTGTTCCTCGTGTCCGTATTATTATTGCTATTCCAATATGTATGAATTTGTGTCGTAGTATTAGCATTCGCAGTAGCATCCCGACAATCATTATCATTACTAGTGATGGTAATATGGTTATTCTTAGCTGCATTACTCGTTTTACTCCTATTCTCAATAGTATTACTAATATTATTATTTGTATGACTAGTATACACATTCTGGCTATCAGTATTACCAGCATTACTGTGAACATTCGTAATAATGATAGTATTCTTCTTACTAGTATTACTCGCCTTACTCAGACTACTCTCATTAGAACTATTAGTACTACTATTCGTAGCATTCGTCTTCTTATTACTTGTCGTACTTTTCTTCTGTACAGTACTCTTAGTATTCGTCTTACGCTAATATTATTATTCTAAGTATGGTTAATTTCATTACTACAATTATGATTGCTATTAGTATTAGGTATCTTATTCTTCCTCCGCCCTCCTCCTCCTCCAACTCCTTCTCCTCCTCCTCCTCATCCTCCTCATCCTCATCCTCCTCCTCCTCTTCCTCCTCCTCCTCGTCCTTCTCCTCCTCCTCCCCCTCCTCCTCCTCCTCCTCCTCCTCCTCCTCTCCTCCTCCTCCTCCTCCTCCTCCTCCTCCTCCTCCTCCTCCTCCTCCTCCTCCTCCTCCTCCTCCTCCTCCTCCTCCTCCTCCCCCCCACCACCAGGAAGCCGGCGCCCGAGGGTCAACGTCTGGCGGCCCGCGCAAGGCGCGAGGGGGCGCGAGGCCTGGCGCGGAGGCAGCCGCTTGACAAGGAACAGGAGGAGGAGGAGGAGGCGGAGGAGGAAGAGGCGGAGGAGGAGGAGGAGGAGGAGAGGGAGGAAGGGGAGGAGGAGGAGGACGACGACGACGACGACGTCTGGTGCCTGCGGCGCAACCCACGGAGTCAAAAAGAGGACGAGGAGGAGGAGGAGGAGGAGGGAAAGGAGAAGGAGGAGGAGGAGGAGAAGGAGAAAAGGAAAAGGAGGAGAAGGAGGAGGACGACGACGACGAGAAGGAAAAGAAGGAGGAGGAGAAGGAGGAAGAGGAGGAGGGTTAGCGCCTACGGCGCAGACCGCGGAGTCAAAAACAGGAGAAAAAGGAGGAGCAGGAGGAGGAGAAGGAGGAGGAGGGGAGGAGGAGGAGGAGGAGGAGGAGGAGGACGAGGAGGAAAGGGAGGTGGAGGACTCGATCGGACAAGCTGTGGCGACACGCAGCGATCGGCAATTAACGCGCAAGGGTCGCAACGCCCAGCTCTCAGGGGGGCCATGCCGGCAACATGGCTGGCCGACGAATGGCGGGGCAGCGGAAGAGCCCGCTAGCACCCGCAAGCGAGGAGCGATGATTGCTCAGTGAGTACTCGAATCGTCGGAGCGCCTGGGGAAAAGGGAGGAAGAAAACGAAGAATCAGAGGAGGAGAAAAAATGTTTCCAAGAGACCCCGCTCTGTCACTCGGACAGGAGCCCCTCGCCGAAACGGACGCACATGATCGCGGCAGCCCTCCTGGCGCAGGTGGCAGAGCGGATGAGCGTTTCAACGAAATACAAAGCGTCGTCACCAGAGCCCCTCCCTGGGGTCTGGAATGATGGATCGTACGTTGCCACAACGACCAAACTTGTCCAAGGTAGTTCGAAGATGGCCGCAGAGAGCTCAAGATTGCATCCACAAGCTGCGCAAGATGGCCCCGGTGATCCAGATGGCCTGGAGCCTTCCCCGACTGGGTCATAGGGAGACCCCACAATCCCCCCTGGCGCCAAAAATCATCGAAACACGCTAAAGTGTGCATGAAGGCTTCGGAGGCCGCTTGGTGCCCCGGAGCTGACCCAAGAAGGCCCAAATCTAACAAATACAAAAAAAAACGTGCGGCTCCAAACTATATTATATATCTATATATATATATATAAATATATATATATATACGTGTGTGTGTGCATATATATATACATACATGTGTACATATATACAAATATATATGCATACATACATACATATATACACACATATATACACACATGCATACTTCCAAACATACATACATCCATACATACATGCATATATACGTGTATATACATATACATAGTTGCAAGCATATATATATAGTGGCGAAGCACCCGATATGCGGGTGGAACGGTTACAGGAATGTTCAGTGCTCCACTCGACTGGCGCAACGTGCTCGCAAGGAGGACACCCAGCCCATTCAAAAAAATCACGAAGCACAACACTAGCCCAGGGAGGAGACTCGCAACCGTGCCCGACTCGAAGCTGCGACCATTGCCTGTGGGGTGCGATGGGTCCGGGAACGTCGTGGCGCTCCCGCGGGCGAATCGCTCCAAATCGGGGTATCGCTTGCAAGTGCTGATGGTATGCGCAGCCGGAAAGTCACGTTTCGTACTGTCCAGCGTTTGACTAATCGTATCCGTGGGTGTCCAGGGCGCATGGAAAAACGGCTTGCCAAACAGCCATAAGCACAAGTTGCTCGGGGGAAGTGTCGACATTGAAGAGGTCGGGATAGATAAAAATGTGCGTCCACATTCGCACTATACGAAGCTCCGTGGATCGCGAGCCGGGATTCCTCCCAGCTCCGCTACCAACCAGAACCGCGGGCGGCACATGGTGGCATGGAGACGACATGGCGTCAATGGTAAAGAAGGCGAGGGCCCTCTCCTTCCACACTACCGCATGTGGTACGCGGGCCCGCTGTGAGCCAAACGGCAGCGGGCGCGCGCGCTCCTATTCGAGTGAGGAAAAGGGGAGGGGGAGGAGAAGGAAGAGGAGGAAGACGAGGTGGAGGAGGAAAAGGAGGAGGAGGGAGGTAGGGGAGGGAGCGGACGGAAGACCGGAAAGTACAAGAGCGCACCCATCGTGCACCGAAACTCCCCATGCCAAGCGATACGAAAACAGGATGTCAGACATCACTCGTTCAGTGTGTAGCTGGGTGAGCTCACAGCATCTGATATCCTTCGTGGGCGGTGTGGCGTGTAGGCTGATCTCGCCAGCAGCGGCACAGCACGGTGGCGGATCCACGTCGTCTGCGGCTAATTCCCAGTGCCCCGCCGAAAGGCAACAAAGACAAAGCCGGTTTGAGATGTAGCAGGAAGCTATCGAGGTCAGCAGGAGCAGAGGAGGTATCAGGCACCGCGGACGCCCTGGAGCACTTCTGAACGCTATGAAAGTGTTGTATGAGGTTGTGCCGAAACGTGTGGATCTCCTGCGGCGGTTCTCCGATGATCAAGATATCTCGGGCCAGGTCCACGACCTCCTTGAGGAACTATAGAAAATGAACGGGGAAAGGGGGGGAAACTGATGAGGGGAAACTAAAAACTCAACTATTCCGCACATCAAGAGAGCCACGGGAACGAACGCATTTCCAATCGGCGTCACTCGACCTCCTATTCCGGAAGCGGGGTACTCTGGGGTCCCCGCTGAGCCTGAGTCTGGTCATTTGTTTTTTGCGAACGCTGCACACAGGCGACCGAAGTCTGGCTTTCCAACGAAAACCTGACCAGCGGCTGCGTCGACCAACGCATGGTCTGACATATCAGAAAGAGACAGAGCCGAGAAAGAGGCTTTCCTGCGCAGCGCCTGGACCTGTTTTGCGATGATATCGTCGACGGTGGCCCAGGTGCTCAGGCTGGATGCGTCACCGGCGAGTTCGAAATCGAAACCTCTGGTGGCCTCCTGCTACTGATATGAGGGTTTGGGCCGATTATGTTCCCGAGGCTTGTAAGGATTGCGACACTCGTCTTTCCAATGGCCTTCCTGCCCACAGGTCGCACACCGAGAACGTTTCTTCAACTCCTTAATGGACATGATTCGAAAGCCTGGCTTCGGGGGTGGCTGCTGCTCATTTCTTTTCCGGTCAACGAAGCCTCGATCCACCTTACGGGTTTGTTCAATCTTGCGGGACTCCTGCCATGCTCGTTTCTTATGGGAGCCCACCTTGTCATCGAGAAGAACTGAGAATATATGAAAGATCTCAACTTCGTCAAGGTCCTCTTCTTCGAAAGCAGACAACAGATCATCAACATCTCCCTCTGGAATCTCTACGTCATCATACTGAACGACAGTTTCCCATGTCTCACTCTGATCCTGCGTCCGATCGCCTGATCCCGAGCTCTGATCTGTGCTGAATGATCGTGAGACTGCGGCCAGTCCGGTCGGAAGTACTGGTTTGTCCTTCACGTCGAGAAGAAGGAGGGCTCTGCGAATCGATCGACTGTCCGTCATGCCATTCGCCATGGTTCCGTCGTTGATGTTGTTCTGCGCTGACAACTGTGCTCCTTCTTCGAGATAACGGGCGACCACGGCATCTGGAAGAGACAACCCATGTCGTTCTGCCTCTGCAATCTGTGAATCTCGTCTGAGAACAAGATCCGTGATCGATTCCCCACGATGTCTGAAGTAGTCAAACAGGGCCTTGTTGTGAGCATCCCTTTCCCAGTCCCCGGGGCGTTCTCCACTCAAAACACTGAGGTGATCAATCATTCTCTGGAGACCTGAGTCCAGACCTAGCTCGTGTCTCACAGGCCTGAATTTGTTTTGAATGTCCGCAGGGAGCGTCTCAAGAACTAGATTGGCTCTCTGGTTGGGCTTCACTGCTGTGAACTTCGCCCATGCTTCTACGTTCACTCTGTACAACTCGAGGTTGTCCATTCCCAACCATTGCGGGGGGGGCCATAGTTACGACTGCTCTCCGACCACGAAGTGTCTCGTCCTCCCCAGGAGCTCATCCAGTCCGTCGCAGGCGCCCACCAATCAGACTGTCCCCACGCATCTCCCCAGGAATGCCAATCCCAAGCATCTTCACGCCAGGTGTCGCTTTGTTTTGTTGACTGATTGTTTTTGTGCGTCCTCACACTGACCAACAGATCGATAAACTTCTTCTTCGTCTTCCTCACCTCTGCTGCGCTTACCACTGTTACCACTTCGTTGATCCGACAACATCTACTGGCACGGGAAGAGCATCAACAAATGGGATCGGTGACGGTAACGGAAGTGAACTGTCTTTATCGGTACTCACGCAAGGACTAGCATGGAAACGAATGCACATACTCGGCCCAAAATGGGCTAAGAAACATATACTGGGTCACTCGAGACCCGGTCGAAGCATGAAACCCGTGTGGCTCCAGTGGATCCGTTGCGAGAGACTCCGGTGAAAACCGTATGAGGCATGGAATAGCCTGGTAGGGACACGCCTCCTCCTCCTCCTCCTCCTCCTTCCTCCTCTTCCTCTTCCTCCTCCTCCTCCTCCTCTTCTTCTTCTTCCTCCTCCTCCTCCTCCTCCTCCTCCTCCTCCTCCTCCTCCTCCTCCTCCTCCTCCTCTACCTCCTCCTCTCCTCCCTCCTATTCCTCCCCCCCCTCCTCTTCATCCTCCTCCTCCTCCTCGTCCTCCGCCTCATCCTCCTCCACCTCCTCCTCCCCACTCCCTCCTCGAAACCCCGCTCCTCCAGGGCCAGTCGTCGCGCGCGTCGAGGCTCCCTCGCGCCAAAGAGAGAGGAAGCGAGCGCGGCGTCGCCTCTCCCCAGGGGCACCAGCGCAGCCGCGGAAGCGGTGGCCGCCGCCGCGGCGGCCGCCAGCACCACCCAGGCGGGCACCGCCGTGCGGCGCAGGGTCGCCTTCCCGGACCCCCATAGCCCCGAGCAAAGGAGGAAGAGGAGGAGATCCTTGGCGCCGTTTTAGGCGCGTGTGTCGTCTCGACATCTCGCTATTGGACCTCGGACCTCCTTCCCTGCATTTCTGGAAGCGGCCG